CAGCTCTCACATCCGTAGGTTACTACAGGGAATACCATGGCTTTGACTATGCGGATCTTTGTTGCCAGTGTAGTTAAAATCAGCTCTGCAGTTCAAGACTTTGTGGCTGCAGTACATACTTTGGTCTTCATCTAAATGGGGGTTGCCTTATTGCTTCAGAATATGTCATGCACTCCACCCTAGATGCATGTGCTGAGCATTATCTAACATTGAAGAAAACAGGGTTGTCATTCCTCAAAGTGTTCCATGTAAATATCCAAACACTGACATGGTGGCATTGTGATGAACGTCTTTAGAATTTGGGGCAGATAAACTTTCATTTCAATTATTCAAACTTGATGTTATTGTGAATTCATTTTTGTTGTTTTGCTTTTCCCTGTTCATTTATTGCAATACATGTGGTTCCGATATTTCCCATTTCCTAACAAGGGACTAAGGTTTTTATTTATGATAGCGATAAACTGTCAGCAATTTTAGTTTCTGGTTTGAAATGTTGGTACTTGATTGAAAAAAAATCCAAAGCATTGATTTCAGAGAATAAAATTGTAACTTTATAAATAATTTTCTGAAAAGGATTTTGGACAAGAAATACAGATTATTGTATTTCAGCTCTGGCACATATAAAATAAACATTTTGTATCTTTAATACCTTAAGAAATATGAAGAAAGTGAAACCAAAAACTGGACATAGTCTCTCTTGACGGAATGTATTACTGTTTTCTTGTTTGCTGTGTAAATTGTTTTAATGAATTGTGTGAGCACATTCACCATGTAATATTATGTGTATGTATGGGGGAAAGGAAGGCAAAACGTTTTATGACAAAAGGAGAGCATACATTAGGAACAGTCAGCAAATAATAAAATCTTTTTAAGTGCAATATATTTATTTCTGTCAGAAATATAGTATCAACAATATGTGATATTTGAAGCACTAAATGTGATTTGTAAGCAGCTTAAATATATATATCACAAAGTTGTACATAAGTGCAAATGTGGATATTCATTTTCTTCCATTAAAATATTGGAATTTTTAAATATCATATGGATTTATTTGTCAAGCTTTAGTTGTTATGCTTTGGAAATTAAATAATACCTCTAAATGGGAGTGGGCGAAAAGTTCATTTGCCTTTAATTTTAATGTGAGATTTTTCAATTCACATCTCATACAGTGACTATGAATTTGCCTTCAGAAATGTATTTGTTCCTGAGCTCGTAAAAAAATATGCAAAACAGCCATCTAGGTTTGGAAAAACATATTCTGACTTACTTTAGTCAGTGAGAGAATGCAAACCAATGTGTGTCCGTCAGGTTTTCAGCTTCACCAGAAAGCAAAGGTAAGTCCCCTCCTAACAGATCTTGCCAAAAAAAACCACGTGATAGGTTTGCCTTAGAGTTGACAGAAGACTTTTTTTTGCATCAGAAATGACTTGAGAAACTGCAAGTCGCATCTTGTGTGAGAGAATTGGTCATCTGCAAGGATGTTGCCCAGGGGATGCCCAGATGTTTTATTATTCTGTGGGAGACTTCTTTCATGTCCCTGCATGAGAAGCTGGAGTTGACAGACAGGAGCTTACCCTGCTCCCCACATTTGAACCACCAACCTTTCGGTCAGCAGTTCTGCCGACACCAGGGTTTAACCCATTGCGCCACTGGGGACTCCTGCCAGAAGGCTAAAACATCTTGAAGGCATACACATATGCAATTTGAAACCTTACTAAATGGTTTTTAGGCACTAGAATAATTTTTGACTCAAAATTATACTGTTTTCTGAGACAAATGCAACAAAAGAGAAAAAGAAAAGACAAATTCAGGGTCATAGCAATAATTATCCCCATCTTTAATAATCTCACTCAGGTCCCTTCCACACTGCCCTGTATCCCAGGATCTGATCTCAGATTATCTGCTTTAAACTGGATTATACAAGTCTCCACTGCCAGATAATCAGGGATAAGAAAATAATCTGGAATCAGATCCTGGTATATAGAGGTAGTGTGGAAGGGACCTCAGTAAGGGGAAAATGTTTGCAATTCAGTGTCTTTTGTGCAAATGAAATATTTGCAAAAAGATTTTTAAAATGTAAAAAAAACCCATCTATAGTGGCTTTCCAGTTTTCAATGAGGCAAGACTTTCTTTGGTCTAGAGCTGAGGTGACAATGAAAACTCACAGGACAAGAATGTGGTCTGTACCATAAGATAGAAACTTGTAGCATTTGGACTTTATTTTAAAAGGCCTATTCAATTTATTTGTTTTATTTCTATCCCACTTTTCCTTCCAAATAGGTTTTCAATTGGCTTTGTTTTAGCTACTTATTCAAATAAAAACTTCCTTTATAAAATTCCACCCACAATTCAGATCTTGAAGCTATTTATTAATTATGTTTATTTATACTCCATTTTTCTCTCTCCACAAAGGAGACTCAGAGCAGATTACAGTTATTATAGCTACAACAAGAATAAGAGTTGCTGTCAGCTTCTAGGCTGACTTACTCAGCCGAGTCCTGGGTTTCAATTGTATATTGTATGCTTTATAAGACCCTTTCCTTTTTTCCTTTGAAAGTCAGCACACATAGCTATGATCTGGAATGTGTGTGTGAGGTTTAAGCTTCTTTTTTTTTCAATGTGTTTTCTTAAACGGGAAAAAACCTTCTTCTACATGAAGTTTTCAAAAGAAAAAATATGTAAAAACCATAGGCATCAACTGAAGGTGTTTTTTTTCATATTTAACTCTTCTGTAACAAAGGAAAGGATTTAAAAAATTTAAAATATGAGAAGAGAGGTTTAAATCTCTCATACTTTGTGCATACTAAACTCAATCTGGACAAAGGGTACACAAACTTAGCACAGAGTAAAAAGACTGAGGAATCTTAACCTACATCCTACACATTTAGCATAGTGTTGGTGGCACAGTGGTTAATGCACTGAGCTGCTGAACTTGCAGACGGAAAGGCTGCAGGTTCAAATCGGGGAGCAGCTTGAGCTACCACAGTTAGCCCCAGCTTCTGCCAACCTAGCAGTTTGAAAACATGTAAATGTGAGTATATCAATAGCAGGAAGGTAACAGTGCTATGGGAGAAACAAGTGGCACAAGTGATTTCTCCATCTATATATATAAAATCCAAAAGGGTGTCGTTAGGGGCCACAAAACGCGTAAACCCCTGGACGAAAAATCACCAAACTTGGCGTACGCATACCTCAAACCACAAGGTATGCAGAACACTCATCACAACTCAAAAAAACATAACAACAAACTCACAATTACACAACCAAACAGAGCATGCGCAGAGGAGTCCCGTCGCGAGTCCCGGCGCGTGCACATGGCTGCACCACGCCCCCTCCATGCAAGCCACGCCCCCTCCCATCGCCGCCCCACCCCTTCCCCATGCCAAACCAAGCGTGGCCTAGGCGCCGACGCTTGAGCCCCGGCCTGGGAGTGGGAGCCCGCCCGCCTGTGCACGCTGGGCCACACTCGGCCCAGGCCGCCCCCGCACTCCGGCGTCTGGCTCCAGGGAAGGAAGGACGCCGCCATCGGGGATGATGAGGAATGGGAAGGAGGGAAGGAAGCGGGTGAGGGAAGGAAGGACGGAAATGAGGGGA